AAATCTCTAACCAGCCCTCCTCCAAATAAAATAAGGTATGATGAAGATAACAAGAAGACAACACACAGTTAGATATCGTATCATATATTAAGAGTTATAAAAGACAACAAATGGAAAATGTAATTACCCTTATCAATAACTGACTGATTTCCCCTAATGGACTCTATTGCAGATTTTAAAGCTGGCTCAGATATTTGAAAATCTCTGAAGAATTGCTTCTCGAATCATTGATCTTGTGTAAAAGCAAGAACCAAGTGCTCAACTGAAACAAATGAATCCCCATACTTTTTCTTGTGGTCCCTAGCTCTCTGAACCAATGCCTCCAAATCTCGTCCCAACATTGAACCAGGTGATTCCCCTAGAACCTAACATAATTGAAAGTATACTAAACTTGGGAAGACAGAATAAAGAACCAAAGAACAAGTATCTTATCCATCCACTAAACTTGGTGACTACATGCTTCTCCACCACTACACTTAGGTCTTCATCCTTGTTGTTTACTATTTGCAACCTTTCCTCCTTTAATAAAGTCACCATGAAAATAAATTAAAAAAAAATAGTCCAGTAAGAAGGAAAATAACTAAAAATAATAATGAACAACTGATTTAAAGATTGTAATGAAGATGTGCTCAAATGCAATGTTACCAAACAGATAAAAAGACAACGGTGATTTAGTAGCCTAGAACGGGTTGTTCCCAAACTAGAACGGGTCGTTCCCATACTGGAATGGGCCGTTCCAGACTACTAAATAGGCCTGTAAATCCTAGTTAAGAACGGACCGTTCTAGACGTGCCAGAACGGGCCGTTCTAGTTTCAGAATGGGCCGTTCTGGTTTTAGAACGGACCGTTCTGGTTTTAGAACGGACCGTTCTGCATGTGAATTTTATACATGATGAAGGAGCTTAGAACGGGCCGTTCTAGATTCGAAACGGGCCGTTCTGGTCACTCCTGACCTCTATAAATAGGCGTTGAGGAGGGGGAGAAATGCGAACTTAGAGAGAGGTTTTAGAAAGAAGTTTTAGGGAGAAGGACTCTGGGCCAGGAAGCTTGCTTTTAGAAGATTGAGGTTCCCAGGTTAAGCTTCGAAAGGAAATTCTTCTTCTTCTCAGCTCTTGGCAATGCTGAGCCAATCTTCAGGTTAGGGAAGTTTCATGCATTGTTTTCCTTGAAAATGGTTAAGTTGTTGAGTGCGGATTGAGTTAAAAAGTTGGGTTGTTGTTTGAAAGAAAAGAGATGATTGATTTAAATTAGTGGTTGCATGTAGTTGTTCTTGTGTTTTAGAAGTTGTTTATAATGTGGTTAAGTTGCTAAGTTGCTTGATGAAGATGAGTTGAGTAGTTGTTGGCTTAAGTTGTTCATATGTTGTATGTTGATAATATGTGATATGTTGTTAAAGTTGCTATACATTGTGTATTTGGTGAAACTAAGTTGTTTTTATGTTGTTTATTGTTGAATTATTAATAAGTTGAGATGTATAAGTTGAAGTAGTTTATTGTTGAAAAAGTTGTTTAAAGTTGTTAAGTTGCATTAAGTTGATTTAAAGTATCAAGATGACTATTGTTGTCAAGTTTAATGAAGGGTGTCTCTAGTTGTGAAGTCGTAAAGTTGATATTGTGATGACTATAGTTGCTCAAGTTGTTTATTAAAGTTGTATAAGTTGCTTATTGTTGTAAAGTTGTATAAGTTGCCTATTGTTGTAAAGTTGTATAAGTTGCCTATTGTTGTAAAGTTGTATAAGTTGCCTATT